TTTCATGTAAGTTATTTCCATCTACATTGCCTTTCCCTGCTTTTAAAAAGCTATCTGCAACTTATAACATCTGAGCTTTTCCTATTTAAACAATGGAAGAACTAACTGCCCCTTTGACTGATTTCTCTTTTTTCCCCCAGTGTTAACCATCTGAAGGAATGTTAATATTGAAACATGAAAATGGATCTATTGTGTGTATAAAATGTCAAAACAAAGCTCAATTTCCCTGTGTGTGCACTGTTTTAGTAAAGTTACATTATCTGTGTGTTTCTATATATTCACTTTCCTTTTATGAAGGACTCACTTGTTGGGAAGAGTTAACTGCCTAAATGGTTGCCTTACTTTTGAGGTGCTACTAACTACAGAATTATTTTGGCCACATTCAGGGATAAAGGAAAACCCTAGCTTATCTTTACTAAACATCTTTCATAGTTACTCCAGTAGTGGAAATATTTTGCCACTCCACTACCACTGCCAACATAAATATTAATCAAAAATAAGAGAAGATCTTGGAATCATCACTTAAATGTCAACTTCTTTTTCTTTGTAAAGTTTATTTATAAACTATTTGGTGACACAATCCTTCTACCCACTAATTCCAAATTGAAATATTTTCATTTTGTCCCCCAAAAGAAAAGAAATTAATTCTAACAAGTGAAATCCAAATGCTTACAGACAACAATAAAACACAATCACCAAGAAAATATCTAAACTTGATTATTTCATAATATCAAAACTGTATTTTGTATTAATTAATTTTGAAGCTAACATCTAAATTTGTATATGGTATGATTTAAACATGGCATTAAGAAGACCTAAAAAAATGAAGAATAAACGTGAGAAAATCTTAAAGGTAAGAAAGTTAGTTCTTCCACCTGTATACTGCTTGATGTGATTCCACTCTACTCACATAACTGTATCAAAATACTAGGTTTCCCATAGCTGTACAAGGATTCCATTTATGCTCTGGAATGTATATGAATTTAAATTAGGCTGATCTATCATCAGCCTGAAATTAGAATGCATGCCTGAATATAAGGTATGGTTTTTAACTTCCTGAAGTCACTTATTAGAAAAGAGGAGTTTGTCTCATATTTGAGTCCTTACACAGTACCTCATTTATGAGATGCTCTCTCATTTATTTAATATTGAACAAAAAAGTATTTGAGGAAGAAAATGCATTAGCTTAAAAATCAACTTCATTCGAAACTAGTTTTAGGATGTTTATAGAAATATCTTAATAGAATCAGAAAAAAAGGGAGGAGAAAAAAATCAACACATTAATTATTCCCAGGTTATAACCTTAAAATTTAAAGTGTTAGATGTTGTTACAAAGAAGAGTTTCAAAAACTCTTTTTAGGGGGCTGGCCCCATGGCTTAGCGGTTAAGTGCGTGTGCTCTGCTGCTAGCAGCCCGGGTTCGGATCCCAGGCGCACACCGACGCACTGCTTCTCCAGCCATGCTGAGGCCACATCCCACATACAGCAACTAGAAGGACGTGCAGCTATGACATACAACTATCTACTGGGACTTTGGGGGAAAAAAAATAAATAAATAAAATTAGGAAAAAAAACCTCTTTTTAAAAAGGAGTCAAATACTATTCTCTTAGAAAGAACACAAGTAACAGTACAGTCACGCGTCACTTAATGACAGGGCTATCTTCTGAGAAATGCGTTCTTAGGCAATTTCATTGTCATGCGACATCACAGAGTGTATTGAAGGAGAACAAAATTTGCCACTCCAAAATGTGTCTCTTTAACATGAGGATTATTTTAGGTGGGTTATTTATTTATTTATTTATTTGGTGAGGAAGATTAGCCCTGAGCTAACATCTGTTGCCAACCCTCCTCTTTGCTGAGGAAGACTGGCCATGGGCTAACATCCGTGCCCCTCTTCCTCTACTTTATATGGGACACCGCCACAGCATGGTTTGATGAGTGGTGTGCAGCTCTGCGCCGGGATCTGAACCTGTGAACCCCGGGCCGCCGAAGCAAAGCTCGCAAACTCAACCAGTATGCCACCGGGCCGGCCCCTGAGGCTGGTTATTTTTAAGAAACAAAAGACTCAGCAAGTTTATCTTGCTACCTACCCTGTTAACTGCCTAAAAGAATTCAAATAAAAAACTTGTCTCAGGAAGCAAGCTATTACCTTAATAAAACATGAACTAGGTGGTAGACAAGGAGGAACCTAGAAACACCTGTTTGCTCAGCTCCCCACTGTGTTCTTCTGTTTCTGTGTGGCCAAACACTTGTTTTCCAAACTTTGCTCCTTTGCATCTACCTGTGAATTGACTTCCTTCCCTTTGAAGTCCCTGACTCTCCCCACCCCCAACATTTTCTTTTGTCTTTAGTGCAGAATGGTATTTAAGATGAGGGCTTCCGCCATTTTGGCAAGTTACTTGGTTTTCTTGGGTTTCTCCAATGTATACATGTTATTAAACTTTTGTGGGCCGGCCCCGTGGCTTAGCAGTTAAGTGTGTGCACTCCGATGCTGGCAGCCCGGGTTCAGATCCCAGGCGTGCACCGATGCACTGCTTCTCCGGCCATGCTGAGGCCACGTCCCACATACAGCAACTAGAAGGATGTGCAACTATGACATACAACTATCTACTGGGGCTTTGGGGAAAAAATTTAAAAAAAAAAAAAATTATAAACTTTTGTTTGTTTTTCTCCTGTTAATCTGTCTCATGTCAATTTAATTCTTAGACCAACCAGAAGAACCTAGAAGGGTAGAGGAAAATTTCTTCCTCCCCTACAGTACTTACACAAACCTAGATGGCATAGCCTACTACACACCTAGGCTATATGGTATGATTCTTATGGGACCACTGTCATATATTCAATCCGTCATTGACCGAAATGTTGTCATGCAGCGCATGACTGTGTTAATTCTAGAGAAGTAACTGGGTAGCTAAGGGACAAGACTGGGAGGGTGACCACTTTTCACTGTGTATCCATTTTTACGCTTTACATTTTAAGCCATGTGAATGTATTACCTACTCAAAAAAAAAAAAAAAAAAACAAATGGATGATTAAATTCTAAAACAGAAACTAGAGCCCCATAAAATGTTATAACCAATCACAAATCAAACATGAGGAATTATGTTAAAGAGGTTATGAATATACAACTATAAGACACACAAAACAAAAGAAATTCTGGCCCCACTGTTTTCTGAATGGTACTTGTAGTTGAGACATAAAATCTTCAGTGTCAGATCACGCATGTATTCAAAAACTGCTGTAAGTCAAACAAAAGAGACAGAAATGAAGATATGCCCCGGATTTCAGTGCTAAATGATGCAAAGGGTTCTACTGATGATAAAAACACTTACCACAGAGATTCATGGATAAAGTCTGAGCAAGATGGTTTTATGAAATATGAGCATGGATAAAGCAATCCTTCTATATTATTGTACTGCTTCATAAAAATGTGACTTTAATTATGTACATGTAATTAAATTAATAAATTAAAAATTCTACTATTTCATCTACCTCCCTACAAGTTTATAAGGGGAGACTACTTCATATTTGGGCTTACCTTATATTCAGGCATACGTATTCAAGAGACCATTCTTACAAGATAACGTGGTGAGCTGTATCAAGTAAATCACCACAGAGTATAAACTTTCCCCACACACTTCCCTCTTCTGCAACATACGACCATTTTCTTGAGCAACTGTATATTATTGCAATTTTATGCCAGTTCAACTCTATTTTTTTTGAGGGTAATAATTTGAACATTATACCGGTCCAAGCATATTATGTAAATTTGATCACATGTAGTCATGTTTCAGTAAATGTGGTTATACTCTCTCAGCCATTGTCTAAGACAAAGCTAGGCTCCTAATTGATGGAAGGTTCTAAAGCCATCACCAGTCAACCACAGCCTCCTGAAGGCTTTGACAGTACCTTAGCCAAAATATTGCTTTTTACCAATCAAACTGGACAAGGCTTGTGGCTAACAACAAGAAACAAATGCAAGTATTAGATGTCTTATTTGAAGGGAAAACCAGTACACTTGAAAGACATATACTAAAGAACTAAGAATAGTAGCATATATCTTTTATCCATTTTCCTGCATAAGATAAGGCCAATAATGCAAAGGATTGGGAAATACTCAGAACCCAGAAAAATATGTACAAGGCATGTAAGGAAGTGTTTTACAGGGAAACAGTTTTATTTCTTCTGGCTTTTAACACTAAAGTTAAAAAAATATATTTGTGAATGTATGACTCATGAGAACTGTGGAAAGCACAGTAAATCCAGTTGAAATTATTAATTCTGCCCTTTAATATGTATGTTTAGCATGTTTGTAAATTTTGACATTTTATATTTATTACCTTTTATGTTTTAAGTATTAAAAATAAGTGTATCCTCTATCTCCATTTACATTAAAAACTGACAGCATTTTGTTTTCTGGAGACTCTAGGATGCCTCTATGATCAATGAAAATTTCCTGAACAGATAACAAATGAATAGAAAATATTCATTTTGTATACAAGGATGAGCCAGCCAAAGACCGAGAACATGGTCATATTCTATACCTATTAACATAAAAAATACTCAGATAAAAAATTCTTGCTTTCTTAGTGATCAATAAGATAGCTCAAATTTTGCCAATTCTGAAATGAAGAGTAACACATTGGAGATGGGGAAAGTAGGAGGAGAATCCAGTCAAATTCACAATCTACTTTCCCTGGAATCAGCATAGGAAGCTCCTTTCCAACGCCATTCTAGCATGAAGTCTGCTTGTGCTAAAATGGCTGAATCTAAGGCTTATTTCCAAAGATAATGTTGCTACCAAAGAAACTTACAGGGGAAATAACAAAAGAATTGGATAGAAAGTGAAATTCTGCCTGTTACTGAAAACCAGCCAGTACCCCTATGAGGTCTTCTCCTTTGTGACAGACTGCTGAATGTAACTGACAAAAAAATTACTACCAAAGCACAAAGATGTAAGCCTTTAAATAAAAGTTCCCTGCACATGCTGAAGAACTCACCATTCTTCCTTTCGTTCAGAGGGGGTAAGTGCTGACTGGACTGTAAGGAGAGTTCCTGGAATTCGTGGGCAACGGCTTCACTTTGAGGACTTGGAGCAAGATGGGCTAAAGGTCCCAATTCATCCTCGGTGTCTAATGCCCCTGTGTGATCCATCGTGTTCCAGCCACTGGCAACAAGGGGTACGAGACACCTCTTAAATGTGGCCTGTTGAAGAGACTGTCAAAATAAAGAATGTGTAAATAGATGGTACATTTATTTTTCTCCAATTTGCACAAAAGTATTAAAATGGGAACCCTGGGTTCTATTTCAGGTTCACTGCTGTGTGGCAATTGCCAATTCATTTATCTTCTCTGGACCTCAGGTTCCTTGTCCAACACTCAGGAATAATATACTTCCCATCTAAAAAAGCACTTACTAGGTAAATAAAAGTTGAAGGGTATTTTGTATAATTTCTTGTACTACAGATTAAACCAAGTTATAGTTATTGGTGTCATTACCTAAAGATTTTAATGCATCCTAAAACGAGACAAAAGTCAACTAATGCTGATGATTATTTTTTATTTAAAAGCAGTTCAGCTTGAAAATCTATCTTAACTCCTACAAATCAAACAACTTTACATTAAGTCAACATTCACAGCAACCAGCAATGTTTCAGACAATGACTCCTCCATCAGCCTGGGTCTCAGAGAGAGAACAGGGAACAGAACTCTCAGCTAACCCACAATGGATATATAGTTCATGATAAAGAAACAAAACTTTACCTTAAGCTACTGAGATTTGGGGTTATTATCACAGTATAACCTGGCCCACCCTGACTGATACAGAAATCGGTAACAGAAGTACTAAAGACACAACAAAAACCCTAAATATGTGACACTGGCTTAGGGACTGAGCAGTGGGCAGGAAGAAAACTGTTATTGAAAGCTGAAAGCTAAAAGGATGGTGGTACATATTATGTTGTGGCAAAACATTTGATAAAACTGTTGCCTGCTTAGCATTCCATACCACAGTTTGTTTATCCATTCCCCTACTGACGGACATTTGAGTAGTTTCCAGTTTTTGACTATTACAAAGAAGCTATCAACATACTTGTACAAGTATTTATACGGATATATGCTTTCACTTATCTTGGGTAAATACCTAGGAGTGAAATGGATGAATTATACGGCAGCCACATGTTTAAATTTTAAAGAAACTAACAAACTATTTTCCAAAGCGGTTGTGCCATTTTGCATTCTTACCAGAAGTGAACGAGAATTCCAGCTGTTCCACATCCTCACCAACACTTGATTACGGTCAATCTTTTTTATTTTGGTTATTTTAATGGGTATGTGGTGGTATCTCATTGTGGTTTTAATTTGCATTTCCCTAACGATGTTGAGCATCTTTTAATATGCTTATTTGCCATCTATATATCTTCTCTGGTTAAGTATCTGATCAAATCTTCTGTTCATTTTTAAAATTAGGTGGTTTATTTTCTTACTGTTTTGAGTGTTCTTTATATATTCTGAATAAAAGTCCTTTATCAGATGTGTGATTTGCAAATATTTTCGCCCAGTCTATGGCTTATCTTTTTATGCTCTTTATAGTGTTTTGTAAAGAGCAGCTGTTTTTAATTTGATAAAGTCCAATTTATCAATTTTTTCTTTTTTTTTGTTTTTTGTGAGAAAGATCAGCCCTGAGCTAAGATCCATGCCAATCCTCCTCTTTTTGCTGAGGAAGACTGGCCCTGAGCTAACATCCGTGCCGATCTTCCTCCACATTTTGTGGGACGCCGCCACAGCATGGCCTGACAAGTGGTGCATCGGTGCACGCCTGGGATCCGAACCCGGGCTGCCAGCAGCGGAGGGCGCGCACTTAACCGCTATGTCACAGGGCCGGCCCCTATTAATTTTTTCTTTTATGGATCATGTTTTTAGCGCTGTAGCTAAGAAATCTTTGATTAAGCCAAGGTCACAAAGATTATCTCCTATCTTTTCTTCTAGATATTTTACAGTTTTACCTTTTACTTTTAAGTCTATGATCCACTTTGAGTTAATTTTTGTATTTGCTGTGAGATATGAATCAAAGATTTTTGTTTTTGGCATAAGGATATCTCATTATCCCAGCACTATTTGTTGAAGTGGTTATCTTTTCTCAATAAACTGCCTTTGCATCTGTATTGCAAGCTAATTGACCGTGTGTATGTAGATCTATTTATTGACTCTATATTTAGTTCCCAGAGAGGAGAGAGCCACAAAAGAGGAGCCCCTAAATTTTGTGTATAAACTTTGCCCAAGTCTCTGGCTGACCCCCAAATTATGCATATTTAGGGTAGACTCCCAAAAGCCCAGCTAAGGCAACAAGAACAGAACTGAGATTTCAGCTGCTGCTCACCATAGGAAAGACAGAGTGTGCAAAAGTGAGTTCAGCAAAGTTAACTGCCTGCTAAAATAAAATAATACTCTTAAGAGGGAACCTAACAGAATCCAGCGTCTCTACAACTGTCCACCCAGAATTCTATATCCAACAAAAATACCCTTTAATAATGAAGGCAAAATTGTCACCAGCAGACACACACTACAAGAAATGCTAAAAGAATTTCTTCAGGTGGTAGGGAAGTGACACCAGAGAGAAACTTGGATCTTAGGAATGAAAAGCATTAGAAATGGTAAACATGTAGATAAATACCAAAGACTAGTTTTTCCTCTTGATTTCTTTAATACCACCATTCAAAGTAAAAACTATAACACTGTGTTATATGGGGTTGTGTTATAGAGTTTATAATGCATGTAGATGTAACATACATGAAAATTATAGCATAAAGGATGGGGGATGGGTAACCATGTCACAACATTCTTACATTTCTATACATTATAAGGAAGTTGTACAGTTTTAACTTGAAGTAGACTGAGAAGTTAAGGTTATATATTATAATTCCTAGAGCGACCACTAAAAAAAAAAAAAAATACAAATAGTTTTAATAAAAAGCCAATAGGAAAATTAAAAAGGAATTATAAAAATACCCAACCTAGGGGCCAGCCTGGTGGCATGGCGGCTAAGTTCACCTGTTCCGCTTCAGCGGCCTGGGGTTCACCAGTTCAGATTCTGGGCGTGGACCTACGCACCACTCATCAAGCCATGCTGAGATGGCGTCCCACATAGAGCAACTAGATGGATATACAACTATGACATACAACTATCTACTGGGGCTTTGAGGAGGAAAAAAGAGGAAAAAAGGAGGAAGACTGGCAACAGATGTTAGCTCAGGGCCAATCTTCCTCAAAAAATGAAAAACTTCGATCTAAAAAGAAAGAACAGAGAAACAAAAAAAGAGATGAGACAAACAAAAAATAAACAGTAAAAGAGACACAGATCCAATCCGATCGACAATTACATTAAATGTAAATGGACTAAACACTATGATTAAAAGACAGAGATTGGATATAATGAATTTTAAGAAGTCTAAAAACGTATGCCTATAAGTGACATACCTTAAATATGAAGATTTAAATAGGATGGAAGTAAATGGATAGAAAAAGACAACTCATGGTAACAAGAAGCCTAGGAATGCTAGAATGACTACATTAACATCAAATAAAGTAGATCTCAAAAAGATGTGTTAGGTAGGTGAATTTGCACGTAAAATGATTTATTTTGCTATGGAATATTAAAATATGACTCCTAGGTTTTTTTCAAAACTATGAATTTTTATTTCAAATAATTTATTCATATAAAATAAAATCTGTTCACAGCAAATTAATCCTAAGATAAAAGTACCATAATGCTCTAAAATTGTAAGATGTACAAACTCTGATCGTTTGTGCTAATGATTTGGAAGATCCTTTAGGCATAAGATTTTAAAATATTTTCATGCAATATTATCTATTCTTCACATCGAAGAATTTTTTCAACCTATTATTCCTTGACATTATGTTCACCTTAAACTCCCACACATCCCTCCAAATTAAGAAAATTATAAGCTGAGAAAATCTTTACAAAATTTAGCAAAAAGAAAAGAATAAGTGTTCAAAAAAAATTTCACTTAATATTCATGAACATTTTTGATGCAGTATGGACTATATCTATTCTTAAATTCTACTATTAAGTTTGCAAGCTGTCACCTAATATCTATTTAACTGCTTGATAATTTTCTTTTGAAATTGAAATCCAACATCAAACATAAAGAAACACTCTCTGTCCAGTAGTCTCTAATTGAGATGTTAAAGAAATGGCATTAGAATGGATTCTTTCATTGAATCATAATTTAGTTATGGAAGTAAAGCAATCATTTAGCCTTAAGTAGACAAACTGATAAAATATTAATCTGTCTAGAACTGACAGAATAAATAAATATGGAGTTAATATCTTACACATCCCAATAACATAACTTCATTCCAAAATGAAACTAATCCAATATTTATCCAGCACTTGGTCAAAGCACAGCACAACCCTAGTAAGATCAACCTGGGATATGCCTTCTGTTCTCAAAAAACAAACCACTTCACTGTCAGATACCATGCCAGAGACAGAAAAAATAATACAGAAAAAAAATAAGAGGCATCACACTTTCCTTTGTTCATCTACTGATTCACTCACACCTTTTTTCTGAATGGAGTCAAGATAACATCAACAACGATCTTATATTTAAAAAGATGCTGGGCTATTAGGCTTAGTCCCCAAATCAGTGCTAACATTTGTTTTGAAACAAGTAAAGTCCAAAGCCAAATCTCTTTCCACTGTACCTTCTTGCTCGTAATGACTAATTCACATGAAATATTAGTAAACAAAGTGGTATTTAATCACTGCTATATAAAAGAAATGCTAAATAACAAACTAGTTCAAAGAATACCAATATGAAACTTCAGAAGTTTATTTAATACATAATCAGCCAAATGCAGACAGGCAAAATATCCATATATACTCAACAAAAAATGTTTTAGCAAGAGCAAAACTATTGTCTCTGCCCTTTAAGCTCCGCTGAATTACAAACGTTAGGAGAACACCTGGCTAACAGCCAGTAAAAACAAATTTCTAAATTCAAACAAGATAAAACTTGGATCAAGAAGTTCAAAGACAAAGTTAACCACACACACAAAGGAATTCCTTACATTAGAAGAGTATTTACTATTAGGTCCTATGATCAACCAAGTTGAAAATTTCATATCACATGCACTTTTGAGAAACAGAATTTTGTGTCATTGGATTGGGTAAATTAGTAATGTCAACCCTGGGTT